TCAAACGTTCGATACATTATTTTGGGACACCCTGTATACATGAGCGAGAAGCAGCGTCTATAGAAGGAAACGATTTATGTTTCAAAAAAGTCCTTGTAATTTACAATTGTGTTTCTAAATTCATGTAAATCATCTCTGTGAGCACGGCGTGAAACCATGCTTCATAAAATCTCGTGTTCTCTCTTTTGTTCATCGAAAGAAAAGAAATGAAGGTGAGAAATGAATACCATTATAACTTAAGCAAAAGCTCACCATGTATTCGGGTCAGCGTATAGTGGCATGTAATAGTGCGTGTTGTATAGTATATAGCACGTTGGAAAAAGCGTAGGAAAATTAATTGTGAATCCTACGATATAGGTAATACATAATATAAGAAGTGTTTTAGTGCGAGAGAAGAAAACCGCATAATATGGTGGATATACAATGCATACAAATCTGTATAGTGTACAATAACAGCCCGTGAGCACAGGTTTGGATTTCCAAACCTATTGATTGCCATTAAGGCAATGTGCACGATTTCCGTGTACCAGAAAAGATCCCAAAGTGACATGTAAAAGTCAAGAGTGATTTCAGTCTCTAGAGGGCCATCGTCTACCAGAACAGATGGAATAAAGTAGCCTACAGATATTATTGTCATTGCAGTATCGCACAAGGAAAAAGAGATTACGATCCAATAGCTAAATATATTTATACTTTTCCCTCTAATCAGAAAAAGTTAATGTACCTTGTGTATCTGCGCGTGTCGTTACTTTTGCATATCAAAAACACAAGTAGAACGTTCGCAGCAAGTGAATACACAGATAATAATGACCACGTCAGTCCAACAACAGCATCTCTTATTTGTCGGTCCATTAGTCGTTTAGAGCTGAAAGTGATAATTTTGGTTTCTCTTGATAGATTATGTTTGCCACAAGGAGCGACTGCGAGCATTCATAGCAAAGCGCATAATCTTTGATTTGGTCCCAGCAGCAGCTATCGTGAGTTAAATCGGTCATATAATATAGTTCTTAACATCGTAAAACTGGGAACTATTGCTTATCGCATAACGATTTCAAATACATGGCTTTCAGAAATATTTTATTTCAGTGACACTTGAGCATCAATTTCTTGAATGCGGTAAGAGATTTTGACCCTGATTACCCCATCAGAGACGACTTATTTTCCATGTTTCCGAGAGTTGCTTTCCTGGATGTGAGCAAAGCTTTAGACTTGCTTCCACACAATTCATTTAACAAATAGCATTCTCTTATATGTTGAGGATGGGATTTCAGAATTCAACACTAGCTTATTGCTAAACAAATGGAAGAAAAGCAAAGTTGCAAGACGATAAATAAAAGTCTTGCAACTTCTCTATTCTATTATACTTTGCTAAAATATAAGCTTTGCTTTGCGCTTGAACTTCATTTCTTCACTCGAAGCACACATGTACCACATTTGCTGCACCTGTCAGAGCTTGCCACAAATGCTAAAACGTAAGATTCTCTGATCTGTTGTTTTTCCTCCCACTTGAAATAGTCCCATCAGGGCTCGGCACTTGTAGACTTCGAGCATTTTTGGGGAAGAAGTCCCCTATGATATCGCACAAATCC